TTGCTGTATCATCATTCTTTTATATTAAAATTTTTAAGAACTTGACTTTTATGACCTTGTAGTGTTTTGTCACCCTTAAATTCATAACTGAGTCCTATGCAAAACAAAAATGTTACTTTTATATGTAATGTTTTGATAATAAAAAACAAAAGTCTGCAGTACATTTAAGAGCATTTAGAACTTCAAAAAGGAAAATGGAAGCAGTTATCAAGTGATTTAGAAAAAAAGTTTTGGAAGAATTTTCTCACAAAGTACATCAATTAAAAATTTTAAAAAATTGATTTAGGAGAGAGCAAGAAACATCTGGGATGAAACCAAGCAACTTTGTTGTGTTGGGATGATGCTCTAATCAACTGAACTACCAACCAGGGTTTCAACTTTTTTTTTTTTTTTTTAACATATTTTATTGATTTTTTACAGAGAGGAAGGGGGAGAGAGAGAGCGCGCGCTAGAAACGTCGATGAGAGAGAAACATTGACCAGCTGACTCTGGCACACTCCCTACCAGAGATGTGCCGCATGCCCTTGCCCGGAATCGAACCTGGAACCTTTCAGTCCTCAGACCAAAGCTCTACCACTGAGCCAAACCGGCTTCAGCTCAACTTTCTTTTTAAAGCTGTGGCTTCACATAGACATACCTTTCCATTGTTTTAAAGATTTTTAGGTATCAATGCTATAACATTTAAAGATTAAAAAAACACCTATGCCAGTATTAACATAAAAGATCATTTTAAAATTTTATTTATATTGGATGCATGTAACACAAAATAAAATGCCAATCTTTTTCTTTTTAATTCAGAAATGTCACAGGAGATGACTGAAAGAATAAAATTCTTGAAAAAGAAGCATGAAATCCAGAGTTGAAGTGGTGGAATTCACTCTGATAGAGGGACAACTCTTCCATGGAAGCAAGAAAGATGCAAGAGAAAAAGACTGCAGATTTAACTGTCTGAAGTTGAAGCCATCTTTCCCTATAGATGGTTTCTGTTTCCTCAAGTATGAGGCAAGGTCACCGGCTGAAAATGGGGAGAGGTCAGGAAAGGCATGTGAGTGTTTTGTGGGAGAGAAGTGAAGGTGTGAATGATTAATCCAGATGACTAGCCTTTCCAGCCAGTGTTGAGTGCTCCTTTGAGATCGTTAAGTTAAAACCAGCCAGCCCTGTTGTGTGATGTTTCTCCAGTAATACTGGTTACTTGGTCATAAGCAATGAGAAAGTTTGTTCCAGCAGGGTTCAGTCCAAGCAAGGTTGAGGTTCTTCCAAATAAGAAAGAGACATTGGGGTAAGAGAGTTAAAATCATTTGTAAAAGACTGGTTACAAGAATAGATCAGGGAATCTAAGTCCGATGAGTTGGAAATGATTACGTACTGTGTATGGTTGCAGAAGCAGGATAATAGATTTTTTTGCAAGTGTTGGAGTTAATGGATTAGAAGTCTCAATTAGGTCATTGAGAGTACAATAAATAAGCCACAGGGAGAAGGATAGCAATTGACAACTGGGATGCCTGAAAGTGAGATATAGAAGGTAAACAGTTATTGATGACAAGGTTCAAATTCTTACCACTGTAATGAATGGATGTGATGGAATAGACTAGAGCAGTGGTCGGCAAACTCATTAGTCAACAGAGCCAAATATCAACAGTACGACGAAAGAAATTTCTTTTGAGAGCCAAATTTTTTAAACTTGAACTTCTTCTGACACCACTTCTTCAAAATAGACTCACCCAGGCTGTGGTATTTTGTGGAAGAGCCACATTCAAGGGTACAAAGAGCCGCATGTGGCTTGCGAGCCGCAGTTTGCTGACCACAGGACTAGAGGAACAAGTTTTTGGAGATGGAAAGATCAAGCATCCAAGAGGCCAAGTGTTGGTGTCGTATGGGTCATCTGTAAGAATGTTGAATTCACACACAATGCAGACAAAAGAGATGGTGAGGAAAACCTAGAGCAAGGAGCAACAGCCTGTAATTTTGAGGTAGAGTGGCCAAGAGGTTGATAAATGATAGCAGTAAAGATAGTAGATGGGCCATGGCCTTTGTGCCCATGGGGTTAGAGCATCAACCAGTGGACAAGGGACCTGGATTCATCACTAAAAAAAAGTAGTGTGAGGGATATACTGATGCACCTAGGATAATACCAAGCCTGATTTTTTTTAAAGTACATTTTATTGATTTTTTACAGAGAAGAAGGGAGAGGGATAGAGAGCTAGAAACATCAATGATGAGAGAAATATCGACCAGCTGCCTCCTGCCTGCAACCAATGTACATGCCCTTGATCAGAATTGAACCTGGGACCTTTCAGTTCACAGACCGACGCTCCATCCACTGAGCCAAACTGGTTTCAGCATCAAATCTAATTTTAATAACTGGAGTTTGTGGATGACATAGAAAGGCAGTCTCACTGTCTGGTAGCATATGACATCAGCTATGCCTCCTGAGAAATGTAGAGTCCACAAGTAACCTGTTGGTAAGTATTCCCAGAAAAGAAAAGGTGAGATGATTAATAAAAGGGAATAAAAATGATGCTTCTGCTCAGGGAACATTTCAGGCATCTAGAATGTAGTCCATTGTGAATTATCTTTACTATTGGCCTGTAGGCTTAGTGCTATGTCTATTTAAAACAACTTTCAGATGCAACAGGTGATTTTTTAATTTTTATCTTTTTGCTTGGGGTAAAAATAGGCTGAATTACTGCCTCTAAAGATTACACTGTCTGGAAAATTTCTGGTGCAAAGGCCCTATGAAAACAGAGTCCCAGTGTACCGTAGTATCCTCGTTTGATTCTCACAGGTGGCTCTGTGACTCCCGAATTCTACTCTGCTCACATTATATTAATGGAGATTATCCTTAAGTGTCAGTAATGCCACCTCCTCTGAGGACCCACTTCAGCAACCAGCTGCCCAGGTATTATCAAACCATAGCAGCTTGGAGACCATTGCAGTCAGATCAAATCTAGCTCTGGTAATGCTGACACTTTTCAGTGAGAATAGCAAAACCTACCTCTTAAAAACTAAAAACTATTAGTACAGTTGAGCCAGAGCCAAACTTTGCAGGGTGACGATTTAGCTGGATAACCTGCAGAGATTGTGCTCAGTACTTTGTTGCTCTGCCCATTACAATTTGAGGTGATACTGAAAGAAGTCGCTGAACTGTGGCAGGCACAGTGCACATCGGGACCGTGCTATATGCATTCATTCCGTCTGTGAGGTTACCAGTCCTGCAAAAAGCTTGGTCCGTTGCCACTCAGTTCCGTTTCCCCTTCTTCGCCTATGTGTTCAGTGAAGCTTGCTAATCAAAACACAATATTTAATTAGTATTACTAAGTTTAACGCTGTTGCTTAAATATATGCAAATTCTGAGGTTTGTAGAAAAAAAATAAAATATAAAATTGCCTCTAGGAGAATAACCTTTCATTAAAAGAAATGTCTCCTCCACTTGGACAAAATAAAGTGACTTTAATCCACAGGAAACATTTTCAGTGAAAGCTGTTAAAATTACTCCAACTTAACCATGCAGAAATCAGATAAACGTTTAAAAATCATTTTAAAGCAGCTTATAAACTAGTTTGGAGATCAGAATCTGGGTAAATGACTAAGACACCGCTAGATCCAATCTCAGCTTCTTGCTCCTTCCTTGGAAGAAAGCATCGTGAAACATGTAAGTTTCTAAGAAATGCAGATATTCGCCACCCATGGCATTTCTGAGGAGGATATGTTCATTGTAACAAACTTCTGAGACTTCACCAGGTTTGAATTGGATTCAGCAATGTGGTTAGGGCTTCCCGGCCTAATCATCAATCACTGGGCATGATTCAAATCGAGTACGTATCCACCTCAGTTATCTTAAGTTGCCCGTTCAGGCATTCCTAAATGTCCCCTTTTGTCTTGTTGAATTTATTACACGTTAGGTTTTGTTTACGTTATGGTCAGGTACAGGTGGAGGGCAACTCGGAGAGACGGCTCCCCACAAAAAGACAGCTGAGCCCCAACTTAACTGTCCGCAGGGAACGATGAATGCCCCAGCCTTCGGGGGTAAGAAGCAAGTGGAATACTTGACAATTTCATCACAAATTCAAGGGCAATTTCAAGTTCCCTGTAGTCGGGGTCTGGCTTCTCCCGAGTTTCGGGAACAAAAGAAGCAACAATTCCCAAGCCGAGACGTGAAGGCGTTAGCTTTATATTTACTGGAAAGTAAGTCAAATCAAGGACCAGGAGTGTCCGCACACACTCATGTCCGCTTCTCCCTCCTTTCGGGGCCCGCGGTGGGGGAAGGAGGGACTCCTCTCCGGCGGGTCCGGTCCGGAGAGTGAGAAAGGCCGGGCCGCGGTCCTCGCGACTCAGCCCGGGGGGCGCCCTTCTCCAGCTCGGAGGGGAGAAGGAGGGGGGGGGGGGGGGGGAGAAAACGCCGCGCACAAAAGCAGCCCGACTGGTTCCTTATCGGCGTCCGGGGGGGAAAGGGTGGAGAAAGAAGTGAGGGGGGGGGGGGGGACAGAAACGGGGCCGGCGGCGCAGCGCTCCCGCCCGAGCGGCTTTTAAACTGCGTCTCCACAGCCTCTCGCAGGGCGCCGCGGCTAATGGAACCCGCGCGAGGCGCCGGGCCAATCAGCGCCGCGCTTCCTCCGGACCCCGGCCAATGGCGGCGCGCGTTCTTGGGGCGTGGGCGCAGCGGGCTGCTTTCCTTGGCTGTGGTGTGTGTGGGCTGGGGTTGGTGCGGGCGCCTGGCTGGGCTGCACTTGGTCCGCAGTTGTGAGCCGGGGGCTTTTGTGTCCGCCTTTTTTGCTTTGCTTTCTGGGAGCGTTTTTTTTTTTTTTTTTTTTTTTTTTTTTTTTTTGGTGTGTGTTTTTGTTGGGTTTTTTTGTGTGTGTTTTCTCCGCGCGCCGCTCCTCCAGCGGAAGCCGCGAGGCTCCGAGGCAGCAGCCCGCACCCCAAGGCGAGGAGGAGCGAGCGCGCCGGCGTGAGCGCCCCAGTGACGGCCGCGGGGAAGGGGCTTCGCCGCCGCCGCCGCGATGCCGGAGTTCCTGGAGGACCCCTCGGTGCTGACCAAGGAGAAGTTGAAGAGCGAGTTGGTGGCCAACAACGTGACGCTGCCGGCGGGGGAGCAGCGCAAAGACGTGTACGTGCAGCTCTACCTGCAGCACCTCACGGCGCGCAACCGGCCGCCGCTCGCCGCCGCCGGCGCCAACAGCAAGGGGCCCCCGGACTTCTCCAGCGACGAGGAGCGCGAGCCCACCCCGGTCCTCGCCGCCGCGGGCCGCGGCCGCGCCGCCGCCGCCGGCAGGGTAAGGGCGCCCGGCCCGGGCCACAAAGGGCGGCCGTTGGACGGTTGTCGCTTCCCCGCGCGCTCGCGGTCCTCCCTCCGCGGCGCCCCCCTCGGGCCTCCTCCTCCTCCTCCTCGGCGGCGGCGGGGCCGGACGCGGGCCCAGCGCCGGCCTTGCAGGCCAGGGGAGGGGAGGGAGGGAGGGCGCTGGAGGGGAGAGCCCCGGAGTCGGGGCCCCGGGGCCGGCGTTGGGGCTGCGTGCGCCCGGGAGGGGGTGAAGCTGGCGTATGCGCGGGGGTTGGCGCGGGCGGCGGGGGGCTCGGTGGCGCCGGACGGGCCGCCGGGTGTGTGTTCGGACGGGGGCTGAAAGCGCTAAGGAAGGGCCAGCCCGAAACCGCTTCGGGTTATATATACCTTTGAGCGTTTTCCCGCTTTCTGAACTGCAGGGACTGGTAACCGAGTCTCGGAGCGCTCCCTGGAGGGCGGTTTGTGCATACTAATGTCTCGCCAACATTTGAAATACGTTCCCGCCTTTTTAGGTTGCTGCCTTTTTTAATCTGGAGGGCTTTTTGAACCGTTTATGTTCTTGTGAGTGTGGTTATTCTTTTCCAAGTAACGAGGCCATTTTTATTTGGCGGGGGACCTTAAAGTGAGCATTTAACAAACGCCTTTAAGCAGTTACCTTAGACACTCAAATGTTTAAAAAATTCTGGTTATTAAGGGCTTGGGTTTTTTGGATTTTTTTTTTTTTTTTTGGACAGTTTTGTAGGAGGAAAGCAAAGACGCACGTTTATTTCATGACATTCTGGTATGTCAGTGTCACAGTTTGGAATATCTAAACGCGGGTAAAAATGTCAGATTGGCTCCAGCAAATGGATAGTTTGTTTGAGAACAGTTTGGGGGTTTTGTTCGGTAGGTTTCAATAGGTTGTTTTGCTGGTAAGAATCTATCAAGTTACCAGACTTTGAATCCTAACAATGTAGTTTCAAGTAGTGATTGATGTTAGGGACAGTGCTTTGTCAGAACTTAGAATATTGAGCTAGGAGCTGTTGCTACTAATTATTGGTATAACTCAAAAGTACTTGTTTCGAAGTTATGTTGTTTAATCTATCTGATGTGCTTTCTGGACTACCCATTAATAATAGAAATAAAAGAAAGATGCAATAAATACATATAAATTTAATTGAAAATGTTAGCCCGGGCTTTAAAGAATTGAAAATCTTACAACTTAAGCCAGTGCCTGGAAAATAGTAGTACCAGGTCTGTATTTGTTCAATAAATAAAAGACTGCTGGGCCGGAATGGCTCAGTGGTTGAGCATTGACCTATGAACCAGAGGTCACGGGTGATTCCAGGTCAGGATATTTGCCCAGGTTGCAGGTTGATCGGTAGCAGAGGCAGTCAATGATTCTCTCTCATCATTGATTTTTTTTTTTTCTCTCTCTAACTTTCCCTTCCTCTCTTAAATAAATAAATAAATAAATAAATAAATAAATAAATAAATAAATATTTTTAAATAACAAATAAGCAAATAAAAGACTGACCTTATTGTTTCTGATGTCTTGTTTTTGTGGATTTAAAGAAAGCCAGGCCAGGACCGGTTTGGCTCAATGGATAGAGCGTCGGCTTGGAGACTGAAAGGTCCCGGGTTCGATTCCGGTCAAGGGCATGTACCTTGGTTGCGGGCACATCCCCAGTAGGGGGTGTGCAAGAGGCAGCTGATCGATGACTCTCTCATCGGTGTTTCTAACTATCTCTCTCCCTTCCTCTCTGTACAAAATCAATAAAATATATTTAAAAAAATAAAAATTAAAAAAAATAAAGCCAGTTGACTCTTACATAAAAAAGCAACAACAAAAAACAGATTTACATTTGAAATAGAACATATCCCTCATCCGTTTTTCTCCACTCCCTCTGAAAAAGAAAGTAATGCTCAAATTATTTCAGTAAAGATTTGGCTGAAATGAAGTTTTTAAAAATATTTTTATTGATTTCAAGAGAGGAAGGGAGAGGGATAGATAGAAACATCAAAGATGAGAAAATCATTGATTGGCTGCCTCCTGCATGCCCCCAACTGGGGACTGAAACCACAACCCAGGCAAGCGCCCTCGACTGGAACCAAACCTGGGACCCCTCAGTCTGCAGGCTGACGCCCTATCTAACTACGAGCCAAACAGGCCAATGCTGAAAATGAAATATTTTCCATTTAAATGAGCACATTTAAAAAATAAATAACAGGTCTTCTATAGAACCCTATCTTGGTCTATGCAAACATTCTTTTTTTTTTTTTTTTTAATATATTTTATTGATTTTTACAGAGAGGAAGGGAGAGAGATAGAGAGCCAGAAACGACGATGAGAGAGAAACATCGACCAGCTGCCTCCTGCACACCCCCTACCGGGGATGTGCCCACAACCAATGTACATGCCCCTGACCTGAATCGAACCCGGGACCTTTCAGTCTGCAGACCGACGCTCTACCACTGAGCCAAAGCGGTTTCGGCTTGTTAATTCTTAACCTAGAATATTTTGTTGTTAATTTTTAGAGAGTGGAAAGGAGGGAAGGAGGCTGGGAAAGAGTTAGGGGTTGGCAACATCATGGTGTGATCATCAGAGGGGCTTATGGATTGGTTGCCTCCTGCGGGAGCTGGTACAACCTGCAAACCAGGTATATGCCCATGTCTAGAGATCAGTCTTGAGACCCTTATGTACATAGGCTGGTGCTCTAACTATTGAGCAACACTGGCCAGGGCACAAACATTCTTGAACCATAGAAGTATTTGATTGTATGCTTTATAATAGGACTAGAGGCCAGGTGCACAAAATTTGGTCTAAGCCTAGTCTGCACCCTCTCACAGTCAGGGACTCTGCTGCTTACTGCCCATCTGCTCATTGCTCCTTAGCACTGCTGTGAGCCCTGCTCTGGCTGAGTAGCACTCCCCCTGGTGGTAAGTGTGCATCATAGTGACCTTGCCCTTTCATCTATTTGCATATTAAGCTTTTATTATATAGAATAGGAAGGATAGCATTACTGTTCTTACTTTGATGACTCATTTTCTATAGAAACAACCATCTTGGTTTTGATGTTTGTTTTTCAATTAGTTTTTAGAAAGTATTCTAAATTCTGTGTTCTAAATTTCAGTTTAATTACTCAGCATTTTTTTAGTTCCTGTCTTATGCTCTGAAGAACTGGAAATGGATTTCTACTGACCCTGCCTACCACCTTAATTTATTATTTTTTTATTTTTTGTATGATAGTCATGTTTTTTTATTTTTGTAATCTCAAATTTCCCATATTATCCAAGTTGTTTAACACTATGCAAATAAACTCTGGATGAAAGGAATTAACATTTTAAGAGACCCTACTATGTTCAGTGGCATGCTAAGCCTTTTATATGTCATTTTATGTTTTGATACGTATAGAGAAAAACTATTTCACAGCCATAAAGTTAAGATCTCTCTACTTATATTTAAAACTTAAAAAAAAAAAAAAAAAAGTGTATTCTTGGCTAGGCTTAATAGTGTGAACAACTTGAAGTTAATAATGGGCCCTAGCTGGTTTGGCTCAATAGATAGAGCACCGGCCTGCAGACTGAAGGGTCCCAGATTTGAATGTGATCAAGGGCATATCTGGGTTGTGGACTCAATCTTCTGTAAGGGGTGTGCAGGAGGCAGCTGATCAATGATTCTCGCTCATTGTGGATGTTTTTCATCAACCTCTCCCTTCTCTGAAGTCAATTAAAAAAATTTTTTTTAAAATAGTCTCTTAAAAAAAGAAAAAGCTAATAGTGGTAATTGATCAATAACATCATAAAAAGCAGAAATTTAAAATAATCTGTTTTAAAGCACATTTAGTAAATGGTTATAACTTAACTTCGGAGTCTAATAGACAGGTTTGTCAGATATAGGAAAAATATTGAATATATAGGAAAAGCATCTTGGCATTTATAATAGTGAAATTCTCTTTTGAACATTCCTTTTCTGTGTACATTTTATGTTCTAGTCATTGTTAGTTCTGTTTATAGTAACAATATAGACATTTCTTTTTTTTTTTAACGGGAACATGGGAAGAATTAACTTTTTTTATTATTATTGATTTTAGAGATGAAGGGAGAGGGAGAAAGAAACATCAGTGATGAGAGAATCATTGATCGGCTGCCTCTTGCACACCCCTCCTGGGGATCTATCCTGCAACCCAGGCATGTGCCTTGAAGGGGAATAAAACCATGACCTCCTGGTCCATAGGTCGGTGCTCAATCACTGAGCCACACCAGCTGGGCTAAACTCACATTTCTTCTTTCTTCTTTTTTTTTTTTTTAATGTATTTTATTGATTTTTTACAGAGAGGAAGAGAGAGGGATAGAGAGTTAAAAACATCAATGAGAGAGAATCACCAATCAGCTGCCTCTTGCACACCCCTCACTGGGGATGTGCCTGCAACCAAGGTACATGCCCTTGCCCGGAATCGAACCCGGGACCTTTCAGTCCACAGGCGGACGCTCTATCCGCTGAGCCAAACCGGTTTCAGCTAAACTCACATTTCTTAAAGAATATTTGTAATCTGTGAGAAAGCCAAATTGTATCTGAGAGTTGCAGAAAAGGCTAATTTTCTAGGTGGTGAATTTTTAACATTTTAAAATAAGTCAAACTGGATTTGGCCAAGGGCATAGCATTTAAACATGGGTTTATGAGGAATATTTTTTAAAAGAAGATTCTTACTGATTTTAGAGAGAGATGATGGGAGAAACATCCATCGATTGCCTCCCATATGCCCCCATAACAAGGATTGAACCCACAACCTAGGTATGTGCCCTGATGGGGAATCAAACCAACAGCTTTTTGTGCAAGGGACAACACTCAACTACTGAGCAATTGTTTTATTTCTGTCATTGCTGTGGTCTCTCAGATTCATTTGATGTAACATGACAAAAATGTTTTCATGTCCGAAATTTGGTTTTGGGTTTTAGTTTTCTATTTCTAAGGCTTTTATTTTATGCATTTTGGTTACACCAGTATTTTTAGGTGTTGATTGTAGTGAGAGAGAAAAAAATTACGGAGTTGGCAATCTGCCTGTTACTGCCAGGATGTAAAGTATTGCAGCAATTTTGAATCCAGTGGAGCATAACTTTCTTGAATGATCTTGCTCTGTCAGGATTATGAATTCTTAGCAGGAAATATTTGAAGACATGGAACAAAACTTTAAAAAGTACTATGCTAATGTGTCCTGGCTAGTTTGGCTCAGTGGATAGAGCATCAGCCTCTGACTGAAGGGTCCCAGATTGAATTCCAGTCAAGGGTATGTACAATAGTTGCAGGTTCAAATCCCCCAGATGGGAGGCAATGATGTTTCTCTGTGTCTCTTCTCCCTTCCACACTCTCTAAAAATCTATGGGAAAAAATCCACCAGTGAGGATTAACAACAGCAACCAAAGTATGCTAATGATGGTAAATATTAATTAAATCATACATTGCCATCAGACTCTACAATAAGGTGTTAAGTGTACAGGCTTCTGAATCAGGGTTATAGATTTAAATTCTGGGTCAGCTGCTTATTTAGATGACTTTTAATAATGAACATTGTCCATTAGATGCACAGTTTTCATTTGGAGAATAGGAATAATCTAATAGCTACTTAATTAGGTTGAGGCTTACGGTAGGTTGCATTTCTGAAAGTGTTTAGTGCTCAGCAATTTATACTACTACTACTAGAGGCCAGGTGCATGGATTTGTACACTGGTGGGGTTCCTTAGCCTCACCTGCAGGGATTGGGCCAAAACTGCCTCTCATACATCCCCATAGAGGTCCTGGATTGCAAGAGGGGGTAGACCAGGCTGAAGGACCCCACCGGTGCATGATTGGGACTAGGGAGAGACCGTGGGAGGGCTCCAGGTTGTGCATGGCCCATCTCACCTGGTCCTTATCGGCCGAAACCCAGCAGAAAGCTAACTTACTGGTCAGAGCATCTACCCCTTGTGGTCAGTGTGCGTCATAGTGACTGGTCGAGCGAATGGTCAGGCACTTAGCATATTAGGCTTTTATTTTATAGGGTAACGTGATTTCTAAACTTTTTTTTGTTTTTATTTAATGCCAGAACAATGCAATGTTACCATAATATATTTTTCAGAATTGAGTAAAGTAAGTTTGTGAAAATGATGTATGAATAGTCTACTCAAATATTACTATACAGCATGTTATGCAGAATGTCTGAGTTACCCATGCAAAAGTGTGCTTAAGTTTTTTCTGTAAAAATGGGAATATTAGTATCTATCTCAGGATTTTTATTCATTAATTTAATACCTACAAAGTACTTAGAAAACAGCTTGGTACATAATGTATTCACTAAAATCTGTTTCAAAACAATAATTATTATACTTGAACATCTTTACTGCTAATGGTAGTAATTTTAAAATAAGGGATTCATAGGTGATACTATACAACTGTTGGATTTTATTTTATTACTAGAGGCCCATTGCATGAAATTTGTGCAAGTATAGGCCTTCCTTCCCCCGGCTTAAGTCCCTGCTCCTGGCCCACCCAGGAGCTTGCAAGTCCTTGCTTCTGTCTGTAGCACTGTTCCTGTAGCCCTGCCCCTGTAGCTCCCTCTGCTACCTCATAGCAGGCATCCCACCCTTCCTGGCTGCTCCACACCTCCATAAACAAATTAACCCGCCATTTTTGTTGGGTTAATTTGCATACCCTTCTTGACTGTGGGCATAGCAGAGGTATGGGCATTTTACATGTTTGTCTATTATTAGGTAAGATTATTACTAGAGGCCTGGTGCACAAATTGTGCACATTTGGTCTGGCTGGCCTTCCCTGATGGGAGCTCATTGGGCTGAGCCAGTGGGAGGGATGGGCCACAGGCAGTTGCCCACTTGGCCCCACCCCTGATTGGTCCCCAGTCAGCCCCATTCTCAGTCAGGATGTTTAGGCACTATGGGGGGCAGGGCCGGCCAGGCAAGGGGTGCTAATTGGGGCCCAATTCAGGCTGGTTGGCTGCCACAGTGGGGGGCTTGCAGGAGGCAGCTGACCAATGATTCTCTCTCATTATTGATGTTTCTATCTCTCCCTCTTTAGTCTCTGAAATCAATAAAAATAAAATAATAATAATAATGTCTGTAAAATTGAATTACTTGATTGGCTTCTAGGTTTGTGTAATTATAACCAAACTTAGAAATCCTCTCCAAACAGCCGAAACCGGTTTGGCTCAATGGATAGAGTGTCAGCCTGCGGACTGAAAGATCCCAGGTTCGATTCTGGTCAAGGGCATGTATCTTGTTTGCGGGCACATCCCCAGTAGGGGGTGTGCAGGAGGTAGCTGATCGATGATTCTCTCTCATCGATGTTTCTAACTCTCTACCCCTCTCTCTTCCTCTCTGTAAAAAATCAATAAAATATATTTAAAAAAGAAAAGATCTCCAAACAAGTAGTTACTTTTAATTTAGTCAAATAGCTAAAGCTTAATATAACTATAAATCAACTTGAAGGTGAATTTCCATGTTTATTATATATATTTTTATTTATATAGTAAATGAATATTTTAAAATTCATATTGAAATGATAACGGGACTTTGTTTACAGAAAGCCACAAAGAAAACTGATAAACCCAGACTAGAAGATAAAGATAATTTAGATGTAACCGAACTCACTAATGAAGATCTTCTGGATCAGCTTGTGAAATATGGGGTGAATCCTGGCCCTATTGTGGGTAAGTTGACAAAATTTCAAATATCTTTCTGTAGAGTAGTACCCCAAATTGTTTTTCCCTTTTACCTAGCAGTTAAGTTTGGGTTCTAAAGTCCACTCTTTGAATCATTTATATTATAAGGACCTTACTTTAAAAAAAAAAAAAAATTAACTATAAATGAGGGAATTGAACTAGACAAATCTCAAAGATCACTTTACCTCTGTTGTCAAGATTGTTTCATATATGCTCATATTACTTGATGAGACACATGGTAATACAGTATTATATGTCAGTTGAGGAAAATCTGAGATAACATGACTGGCCAAAGTCATTTAAATAGTAATTTAGTAATAGGCTTGTTAATATAACTCAAATTCATCAATACCTAGCATTTTCCATTATTAAAACCAATTTAATATGTGCACATGGTAGAATCGTAAAAAATCTTGTTTTGGTTGGAATTCAAGAATGATACCCTGAAGAGCAAACTAAAAAGAGAAAACTTAGAACTAAATACACTGAATTGCTATCATTTGGTTACTTTTGTAAGGCTGAGTATGCCTTAATTTTAGAAGCTCTTCGCAATATTTAATCTCAGGGTGAGGAAGTCCTACATATTTTGATCTTCTAAGTTATGTAAAAGTTTGCACACTGGAGATTTGTGGGTTTGTTTTCTCCATAGGAGCAAACAAGGATTTTGGGTGCGCCTTTCTTTTGTTTTATTTAATAACTGTATTGAAGTAGATAATATTTGCCTATTAATATAATTACCAGCTGACATTTGGTACCCTTGTAAAATTTTATTTAAAATGCAAAAGGGAGATGTTAAAAAATTTGTATTATTATCTACATATATATAAAGCCTGCAACCAGAATGCCGTAACAACCAGAATGACAGGTTGCTGTGACGCCCACTGTAGCCAGTGAACTGCCCCAATTGAGGGCAGGGCAGCTGGCCAAACCTCCCTTCCCATGGTCCTTCCCTCCAGCCGATCCTACCCCTGATCACCCTGCCCAACTCCACCTGAATCAGGAGCAGGGTTGGCCTGCCAACCGCCTGCTGCCCTTTCCTCCAGCTGGCCCCGCTCCCAATGGGCCCCCATCACCCTGATCAGCCTGTGGCCCCTCCTCCCAGCAAGCTCTGCCTCATCAGCAGGCCTCTTCCAGCCCCCATCAGGGGCAGGGCCAGCTGGCCAACCACCCATGGACCTTCCCACGGTTACCCTCATCCCCGATCAGTGGTTCAACACTAAATTTACACAATTACATATTATATTTCCAGACATATTCATCTGGCATAACTGAAGTTTTGTATCTTCCAACCAACATTATGCCAAACACATTTACATTTTTAAAATGTGATTTATAACCCTACCTGGTTTGGTTCAGGATAGAGTGCTGGCCTGCAAACTGAAGGGTCCCGGGTTCGATTCCAGTCAAGGGCACATGCCTGGGTTGCAGGCTGGATCCTCAGCAAGGGACATACAGGAGGCAGCCGATCAATGATTCTCTCTCATCATGATGTTTCTCTCCTTCTCTGAAATCAATAAAAAAAAAAAAAAAAAAACTTTTTAAAAATGTGTACTTTCCTCATAACTGGATGGCTATTTTATGTGCATATTAATCTCTTAGAGGGATTTTGTTGTTATGTAATATGTTTTTATTGACTTTTTAGAAAGAGAGGAAAAGAGAGAGATAGAGAGATAGAAACATCAATGAGAGAGAAACATCACTTGGCAGCCTTCTGCACACCCCCAGTGGAGTAACAAGCCTCCAACCCCAGGCATGTGCCCTGACCCAGGAATTGAACTGGAGGACTTGGCTCATGGGTTAGTACTCAACCACTAAGCCACTCTGGCTGGGCAAGTTGTGGGGTTCTAATCACAATAATTTAGATGAGTACAATAGTTTAATAAAAATAGATTTTATACAAAGGCAAGTACTATTATGTAGTACTGGAGGAAATATACAAATTCTAAAACTTTGGGGGCAAAAATACTCAGTAATACCTGGTTCTTCAGTAAGTTATCTAAAAAAACCTGTATCAATCTATGTATTCCATGCTATAAAAGAAATGTTGTAATTATGTGTTAAAATACTATAAAAATATATTTTATAAAACAATTCATTATACAACTCTGACCAGGTGGCTCAGTTGGCTAGAGTCTGTATACCAAAAAGTTAAGGGTTTGATTCCCAGGTAGGATGCATATGGGAGGCAACCAATTGATGTTTCTCTTCCTCCTCTTTCTCTTTTTCTCCCCCCCCCCCCCCCTTCTCTAAAACAATAAAAACAGCCTCGGGCAAAGGTTAAAAAAATTATTAAAAATTTCATTTTTCATTTTTAAGCACTTAATTACAAAGCAAAGAATGAAAGTAACATTTTAATGTTCTAAAGATAATGTTTGAACCTATTTTAAGTAAGACAATATAAGTACTAAAGCGAGTTCTGCCTTAATATAGGAACAACCAGGAAGCTATATGAGAAAAAGCTGTTGAAATTGAGGGAACAAGGAACAGACTCAAGATCTTCTACTCCTTTGCCAACAATTTCTTCTTCAGCAGAAAATACAAGACAGAATGGAAGTAATGATTCTGACAGATACAGTGACAACGAAGAAGGTAAAGTTTTAAATGATGTTAATCAAATATATGGTGTGTTTTTTTTCAGGCTCATAAGATACAGTAACCATGTAGGAGATAAAATTTAAAATAATATTACCAAAACATAAAATTTTTGCTCATACTGTGTCATTAATTTTTCAAGTAATTGGATTTAAATAGCTTTTCTTGAAAACTTTTAAGAAACAGAAAAGTACAAGTGTCTAATTTTCTGTCACCTAAAACTACCTAAGTACCTTTGTCTTTTTTGCTTCAAATCTCATTTTTCTAAGACAATAAAATATTACAAATAAAGACAAAGTTGCCCCACTTATTCCTTTCCAAGTATTGTCTACATAGTAATAATCACTGGCATTAGTTTTATGCTTCTCTTTCCAGCCCATTTTTAAATGTTTTTTATATGCATCTATCTAATACATGGTATTACTTTGTACTTTAAAAGATCTATATTAATAATATGCCAAATCTATGTCACTTTTTTTATTCTGTTATATTGCCAAGATCTCACTTATTACTTGTCTGTTTTATTTCTTGTAATTAATATATAGCAGAAGTGTTTACATATGTCATGTTTTCTCTGTTTTCTATAAGCATTTAAATTGACAGTTTTTGCTAGATAATCTGATTTCAAGGCAACTTCAGAGCAGATATTTTAGTGGACTATTTTAAGAAAATTTGACCGAATATTTAAATATTTTTGAAAATAGTACAAGAAATAAATGACCTTTTAAAATTATAAGAACAAGTTTATATTGGTAAATCATTTCATTTATATGACTTGTTTTATAATTTCATGATTACTTAATTTGACCCAAATTACTTATATCTCTTAAGCATTGTCTGCCAGGGCATAGTCTGTCAAATTGGTTGTTCAGAATATGAAATATAGAGGCTTTTTCTTCAACAGCACTATGTTAGCAAGGAGGCAAAGAATAAAATCAGCTTAAACACAAGTAGTGCTTAAACTTCCTGCCTCTTTTGCCTCTACAGGAAAGAAGAAAGAACACAAGAAAGTGAAGTCCACTAGGGATTTTGTTCCTTTTTCTGAACTTCCAACTACTCCCTCTGGTGGATTTTTTCAGGGTATTTCTTTTCCTGAAATTTCCCCCCGTCCTCCTTTGGGCAGGACTGAACTACAGGCAGCTAAGAGAGTGCATACTTCTAAGGGGGACCCACCTAGGGAACCTCTTATTGCCACAACCTTGCCTGGCAGGGAACAGTTGCACAAGTTAGCCTCTAGAGGGAATTTGTTTATTTCCTCCAGTTCTAGCCATGATAGATGTTTAGAGAACAGTTCTTCGACATCTCAGCATGAACTCGCTGCCATGTTGGTCTCTGCTGCAGCTTCTCCTTCACTGAGTAAAGAAACCACCACTACTTGCTATAAAGAAAAAATAGGAAATATTTACTGTGGAGAGAAAAGTGGAATTCAGCCATTATATACTGAGAGGTCCCATGGTTCAAGTCAGTCGATTATGTCCAGTGAAAGGAAAACACTAGAAGAGTCTGAGAGATCACAAGTAATTTCTCCACCACTTGCTCAGGCAATCAGAGATTATGTCAATTCTCTGTTGGTCCAGAGTGGTGTAGGTAGTTTGCCTGGAACATCTACCACTACACCCTCACTGGATATAGAAAACATATGGAAGAGAATTGATCAATCTAATTTTCAAGAAACTGAATCTCTCTCTCCTCCACGAAAATTGCCTAGACTGAGCAAAAAGTCAGGAGAGGAAAAGGATTCAGGTTCCTCTGTGGCATTTCAAAATATACATGGATCTGAATCCATGTCTTCTTTTGCTACAACTGTTGTCTCTCACTCACTTGCTACCTTAGGCATAGAGATGTCTAAGCAATCACAGCATGAAAAAGTAGATGCCTCAGAACTATCTTTTCCTTTCCACGAATCTATTTTAAAAGTAATTGAAGAGGAGTGGCAGCAAATTGACAGACAGCTGCCTTCATTGGCATGCAAGTATCCAATATCTTCCAAAGAGGCAACACAGATATTATCAGTTCCAAAAGTAGATGATGAAATCCTGGAGGTTATTTCTCAAGCCACTCCACCAGCAGGTACTCAGGTAGCTTCAACTGATAAACAGTTGGACTCAGCACTTTGTAGAGTATATGAAGCTGCAGCATCAGCATTGCAGGTTGCAACCCATACTGCCTTTGTAGTTCGGGCTATGCAGGCTGACATTAGTCAAGCTGCACAAATTCTTAGCTCAGATCCTAGTCATAGCCACCAGGCACTTGGGATTCTGAGCAAAACATATGATGCAGCCTCATTTCTTTGTGAAGCGGCATTTGATGAAGTAAAGATGGCTGCCCGTACCATGGGATCTTCCACTTTAGGTCGCCGTTACCTCTGGTTGAAGGATTGCAAAATTAGTCCAGCTTCTAAGAATAAGCTGGCTGTTACTCCCTTTAAAGGTGGAACATTATTTGGAGGAGAAGTATACAAAGTAGCTAAAAAGCGAGGAAATAAACACTAATAAAGTTAAAAATACTGACATCCATCTTAACTTTGATTCGGGGAATTTAGCAGATTTTCTAGGGAATTTAAGTGCATTTAAATAAATTTTAAGGTCTTTTTAGTTTCCAGATGGGGCTAGTTTTAAAGTGTCAAGCTTCATCCCATCAAATTATAGTTTAAAAGTAATGGCCTACATAGAATTGCCTTTTAAAAAAAAGTTGCACAGATAGAAAGCCCGATAAAATTTAAAGCTTTGTAGTTCACATTTTTTATCTCAAATAGTTCACTCTATTCCATAAGATTTTACAACTATTCAAAACTAAGAAGACTCTAGTAACTAGAATATAAGTAGAGTCTTTGCTGGTCTTAATATCTTTTTACTTTTTACAGCATTTCTACATTTTTTTCTTTTTTTCACTTTTTGTTTGTTTTTTACTTATGTCTACAGTATCATTCATAATATTTTAGATTATTGCATCTCTGTGTGCCAGTCTTCAAACTGTTACTGATCTACAGACAAGCATGCAAAATAATTTGAATCTAGAAACACTCTCAGATTAATGTCCAGGTTTATTTTCTTGGTAAAATTTTATTGATAGAGAAAACAGTGTACTGACCTACCTTCTAAGTCCCTCATTTCTTCATGGGCTAGTGGCAAACACTTTGTTGACCACACTGACAAATACTGCTCTAAACCATCATACTCCAGGATGTGCATTCTCACTATCACTGTAGTTTATTAGATTAACTCAATACTAGAAAGATAGTAATTTAAAAAAAAACAAATCACACTTTCAAGTGTATGTTGCAGTTCATAGGTTTAATCTAAATTCTAAAAGTAAATTTAAGTTAGTTGGGTGGTGATTTTTTAAATCCTAAGAAATCATACTATACCCCAGTATCTTTGTGTCTTATAAAACAGTATATTACCTTGTGTTTTCATTTCTATGATTGTAAGATGAGAGTCTAATTGTAGAGGCATTTGATAATCAAACTTCTTTGTACTTTTATGAAAATAATAATATTAAGTATAAGCAAAACATGGTTCCTTGGATACTCATAGCCAGATCCTTAGACTATACATGCCCATCTTTGCAGCTTTCTGGGAATAATTTTGTTGTCTTCTGAAATGTACATGTATACATGTACCTACTAAGTGTTGTGTGACTTTAAAAATGTATTACTGTAGAATGCTTCTGCAAATTCAATAAAGATGTTAAATTTGAACAGTTTTGTGTGGTCTCCAGCAACATGTTGTATGTGTGTTTTATTCTTGGAGTTAAAATAAGTTAGATATTTGCAAATGAACATCCCTTTATCATTTCATCATTGAAACTCACTTGGCATTACAGTGGTGTAATTGAAAATATTCTAAATACAGTTTTATATTTGAGGACCATGTTTTTATTGCTTTTTGGAATTTAAAATTTGTTAGAGAAATTAATCTGTAACCAGATACCTTATTTTAAATCAGTTTCTGCTCCCCAAAATCAGTTTGGCTCAGTGGATAGATTGTCAGCCTGCGGACTGAAAGGTCCCGGGTTCAATTCCGGTCAAGGGCATGTACCTGGGTTGCGAGCACATCCCCAGTAGGAGGTGTGCAAGGGGCAGCTAATCGATGATTCTCTCTCATCCATGTTTCTAACTCTCTATCCCTCGTCTTTCCTCTCTGTAAAAAAAAAATCAATAAAAAAAATATATTTAAATCAATTTCTGCTCAACTATATTGGGTTCTTTGGATGTTTTCTAATTCTTAGGATCTGAGTTAACAAAGCTTAAGATTTAATAAAGCTAATGATTGTTCCAAATACAGATATATAATAGACCTATTAATAAGAGCTTTGGGATGTGGGGGATAGAGTTGATACTTAAATTCTAAATAGAGATTGAACTATTTGAGCTAACATGCTGAAAATAAATATCATTGCTCACTTTTGGGAAATTTGCAAGTAGATATTTAGACTGACTAGTGCTAGACTAGCTAGCAAGACACAGCTCCCTTGACTACTTTTAGTACAACTGCATTGAGTTCATGCGAAGCTAATTGACTCCATTTTTTTGGTACAAAAGTAATCTCAAGTTTTAGAGGTAACAACTGACATTTTGCTATGTCATTATAAACAGCCACAAAATGTGGAAGTTAACTAAAATTTATATCAGTCTTTTAATCTAGCTCTTTAAGTGATAGAGGAATGGGATATAAAAAGACATACATATTTATTTGTGTTGTTACTATTATGGTGGTATGCTAAGTAATACATACGCACTAGTTTCTCTAAAGAAATATATTGGGAGGAGGTGAAGTGGCCTGTGATTGGACTTTTCTGCCAACAAGATTTCTCCTTAACTCTCCTCAGAGGTTGTACTTAGGTGTTTTGTTTTTGTTTTTTTTAATACAGTTTTATTGACTTCAAAGAGGGAGAGATAGAAACATCAATGATGAGAGAGAATCATTGATCAGCTGCTGTCTGCACGCCCCTTACTGGGGATTGAACCCAGGACCCTTCAGTCTCAGGGTCTATGCTCTATTCACTGAGTCAAACTAGCTAGGGCTGTACTTAGGTTTCTTATAATCACATCAAAAAGGGGAGGAGAGACTTAAATTGCACTTATGTATTAACATTGTTGCACTTAATGTTATTAGAAGCTCAGTAACTGTATGGGTAGGTTTGTTTTTTGTTCTTAAAATTCCCTATAGCCTTTTTCTTTATGTATTTCAATTTTTAATTTAATAACAAACATTAACAATGTATGGACAAAAGAATGGCAACAACTATATATTTTAATGTTCTTTTCTCACCTCTAAATTGTTTTTAGTGAAAAGCCTCCATGGGAGCAGTTTAAATTCCTTTTGTTTCAGGCTGTTAGTCCCAGAGAAAGGGAAGGAGAATAGGAAATTGTGATTAGATTAAGGAGTGGGGGAGATAAACAGAAATGGAATAAAATAAGAATGGAAAAGAAAAAGATAAAAATTGCAGTTAAACAGTTTTGGTTTGTTGAGGTAAAACCTGTAGATGACTTATTTTACACATTAGTGTGCCTAAAACTGGCATTCCAAACCAATTTTAAAATGGTTTCGTTTATTGTATGTTTCAGAAAGTAATGATTTCTCCGATGTTATTTCCAGACTCTAAAATAGAGCTCAAGCTTGAGAAGAGAGAACCACTAAAGGGCAGAGCAAAGACTCCAGTAATACTCAAGCAAAGAAGAGTTGAACACAATCAGGTATCTTAGTTTTGTGATCACTGTATTCAGGTATAAGTAGTTTCCAGGCCTGTGTCCTAGTCTTTGGTTAATAGTTGACACCCATATTCCCATCACCCTAAATATTGTTAATTCATTGTTCATTAAATGGCATCAGAAATCTAAATTTTGTTTTGTCAGTAGTGTACCTGTTTGCTGCAAAAGTGTGTTTAATGTCTCATTTGTGTTTGATTCTGAAGTTAAGAATGGTTCAAAGCCAGTCATACTGCTTTTGAAAAAAATTTTTTTTAGTTATAACCGTATCTTTTTAACTTTTTATTTTTAAATTACAGTTGGCATTCAATATTATATTAGTTTCTTGTGTGCAGCATAGTGGCTAGACATTTATATAATTTACAAAGTGATCCTTTCAATAGGTCTAGTACCCACCTGGCACCATACATAGTTATAATATTATTGACTATAATTGCCTACCTATGCTGTACTTTACATCCCTGTGACTGTTTTGTAACTACCAGTTTGTACTTAATCCATGACCTCTTTCACCCGGTCCCTTAAGCTCTCTCTCATCTGGCATCCATCAGTTCTCCGCATCTGTGAGTCTGATTCTGTTTTGTCTTTTGTTTTTTAGGTTCCACCTGTAAGTGAAATTATATGGTATTTGTCTAAAAGAAGGTGGACATTCCCTAGCTGGTTTGGCTCAGTGGATAGAGCATTGACCTGTGAACTGAAAGGTCCTGAGTTTGATTCTGATCTAGGGCACATGCCTGGGTTGCGGGCTCAATCCCCAGTAACCTGGCATGCGAGAGGCAGCCAGTCAATGATTCTCATCATTGATGTTTCTATTTCTCCCTCTCCCTCCCTGATATCAATAAAAATATATTTAAACAAAATAAAAGAAGGTAGACATGCCTAAGTAATTCTGATATTTCCTTAAAAGGCAGGGGAATAGTTTTATATTTGTGTCTTTGCCTCTAGATTTCTTTAAATTGATTTCAGAGAGGAAGGGAGAGGGAGAGAGAGAAACATCAATGATGAGAGAGGGTCTTTGATCGGGTGCCTCCTGCACAACCCTCAATGGAATCAAGCCTGCAACTAGGGCATATGCCCTGACCAGGAATTGAACCGTAACTTCCTGGGTTCATACGTCTATGCTCAACCACTGAGCCACACTGGCCAGACTGTGTCTAGATTTCTGGCTTTGCTTTTACTTTTGCCTGTCTTCTATGACTTTTTCTTCAACTCTGAACTTAGTCTGGTCCCAAGTCCACACTTTTCTTGTTTTAGATGAAAATTTTTTTTTATTGTTGATGAGGCGAGATGCACTTAGTGTAGAAACTATGAAAATCTGGTGAAGGACACTGAAATAGACAATTATAGGTAATTTTGACCCAGAGTGTATAGAGCTAACAAGAATGGGTGACTGGTCAGATAACAGGAAAAAGGAGGGGGGGGCCGAAACCAGTTTGGCTCAGTGGTAGAGCGTCGGTCTGCGGACTGAAAGGTCCCAGGTTCGATTCCAGTCAGGGGCATGTACATTGTTTGCGGGCACATCCCCGGTAGGGGGTGTGCAAGAGTCAGCCGGTCGATGTTTCTCTCTCATCGATGTTTCTAGCTCTCTATCTCTCTCCCTTCCTCTCTGTAAAAAATCAATAAAATATATTATTTAAAAAAAAAAAAAAAAAAAGGAGGGGGGAAGGATGGTATTAAAGATGGTTTAAAGGGTAATTGTTTCTATTGGGGATGCTAAACTGAAAGACAGGATTATCAAAGGAGAGAAGATTTAGAGGACAACAGGCAGAATTAGATAGTGGCCTTAGATAACAAAATTTAAAATGTAGAAGAGTAGAGGGAAGAGTTTAATGACTTTAGTCACAGAGCTTCAACAGTTGTCAACATTTTTTTTTTAAATGTTTTATTGATTTTTTACAGAGAGGAAGGGAGAGGGATAGAGAGTTAGAAACATCTATGAGAAATAAACAATCAGCTGCCTCCTACACCCTACTGGGGATGTGCCCGCAACCAAGATACATGCCCTTGACCAGAATTGAACCTGGGACCCTTCAGTCCACAAGTCTATGCTCTGTCCATTGAGCCAAACTGGTTTTGGCCAGTTGTCAACATTTTATCAGTTTATTTCATTTTCATGTGTGCTCTAGTTTAAATCTTTGGTTTTATTTTGCTTTTCACTGGAGTATGTGAAAGCAAATCTCTGACATATCATTTCCCACATTAAAATTTTGGTATATGTCTCTCAAACATAAGAGGTGTTTTTATATACACACAATGCTATTATCACACCTAAAAATTATTTTTCATATCTACTCTGTTTAAATTCTTTTCTTTTTAAATAAGTTTTTATTGTTCATATTATTACAAATGTTCCTCCCCCCCCCCCCCACCATTGCTTTCCTCCACCAGGCTCCCACCCCACCCTCTCCCCTTTCCCCACTCCCCATTGTCCTCATCCATAGGTGCACAGTTTATGTTCAGTCTCTTCCCACATCCCTTCCATACCTCTGATTCTATTATATTCAACAGTTAATATTGTTCATCAGATTTTTTTTTAATTCCCTTGGTTTTTAGATTCACTTGTTGATAGTTACGTATTTGTTGTTCATAATTTTTATTTACTTTCTCTTCTGAAAAAACCCCTTCAGCAATTCATATAATTCTGGTTTGGTGTTGATGAACTCCTTTAGCTTTTTTTTATTAGTGAAGCTCTTTATCTGGCCTTTGATTCTGAGTGATAGCTTTGCTGGATAGATTATCTACTATTCATCACGTTGAATATTTCTTGCCATTCCCGTCTGGCCTGCATGGTTTCTGTTGAGAAATCAGCTGACAATCGTATAGGTGCTCCTTTATAGGTAACTACCTTCTTTGCTCTTGCTGCTTTTAATATTCTCTCTTTGTCTTTTGCTCTTGGAATTTTAATTATGATGTGTCTTGGTGTGGTCCTCTTTGGATTCCTTTTGTTTGGAGTTTTGTGCGCTTCCTGGACTTGTAAATCTAATTCTTTCACCAGGTGGGGGAAGTTTTCTGTCACTATTTCTTTCAGTATGTTTTCGATATCTTGCTCTCTCTCATCTTCTGAAACCCCCATAATTCTGATGTTGGTTCGCTTGAAGTTGTCCCAGAGGTTTCTTACATTATCTTCAATTTTCTGGATTCTCTTGCCTTCTAGCTTCTGTGGAGGAGTGTCTTCTGGCTCTTTATGTTCCAAATCTTTGAATTGATTCTTGCGATCTTCCACTCTGTTTTTAGGACTCTTTATAATATTTTTTATTTCAGACAATGTATTCTTTATTTCTTGTTGATTCCTTATCATTTCTTGTTGATTCCTTATTCTAGTTGATCTCTTTTCATTTCCTCATAGGTATTATTCATCTTTTCTAGGAAATTCTTGAAAAACCTTATAAGCGTAGATTTGAACTCTATATCCAGTCGCTTTTTGTCCTCCATTTCTTTCGTTTGTGATCTATTTCATTGTCGGATTTCGCAGTTACAGATGGGGCGGGATTTCAGGGTGGAGCCTATAGCCTTGGCTTCCGTCAGCCCTGCCCTATGCGGTTCCTGAGTCTCAGGGTCCTTCAGTACTCACTGCAAAGCGCCTCTGAGAGAAAGGTGCCCTTGATTTTCGCCTGCTGCCAAACAGTCTATGCTCTCCCACAATGAGCCCGGTATTGGGGTTCAGTTCAGTTCGAAGTGGAGTTGGAGGTGGCGTTCAGAGCAGACTGGCGCCCCTGTCTCCTTCCGGCCAGGGCAATCCCGCGGCACAGCCGGCTGTCCCTTCTCTGCGCACAATGTGGGCGCCGCCGGGACCTCCTTTCGCCACTTCCCCTGGGTTCTGCCTTACAGCCCAGCTCCCTCTGGATGAGCCTGGGTCCCCGGGGTTTGGCCTAGGACTGGGGTTCAAAGCAGTCAGAACTGGGGCCCAACACAGTCGGAGTTTTATCTCCTTCCTGCCCAGGAACGCCAGCCAGGCACTCGGCCTCCCTCCTCTCCGGCTCCATCCTCTCCGGCCCTCTCCGTGCGCTGCGTGTCTCCGTACCTTGGGCTTTTACAGCTCCTCCGCGCTTCCTTCTGGTTTTCTCCTTCTCGTTGTAGAATTTCCAGTCAGTCAACTTTCCTGTAGTTCTGGGTAATGTCCATTTTATATTTTAGTTGTATTTTATTGAAATTGTGTGCTGCTGCGGCTAGGTGTTTACCTGGGCGCAGCCATCTTGGATCTCCTGTTTAAATTCTTTCAGTTTCAGAAATGTCTCATGATTATTCAAATCAGGATCCAAACAAATTCCACATATTATGTTTTTTTTTAATCTCACATCTGTAGCTACTTCCCCTCCATTTATTTAGTTAAGAAACCATGTTGGTTTGCTATACAGAATTTCTCATATTCTGGATTTGGCAATTGTTTCTTCAAGTGTTACGTAATTTGTTCTTCTGTACCCTGTATTTCCTGTAGTCTGGGAGTTAGACATTTATAATGGAGCAATGCAGTTGATCTTTCTATGATGACAGAAATGTTTTCTCTCTGTTGTCCATTATGGTAGCCCTGAGCCATATGTAGGTATTGAATACTTGGAATGTGACTAGTGTGGCTGAGAAACTATTTTATAAACTTAAATTTAAATTGCCACATGTGGTTAGTAACTACTGTATTGGACAGTACAGATTATAGAGTTCATTAGATTCAGGTTCAGTTTCTTTGACAAGAACATTTCATAAATAGTGTTGTAGCCTTCATATTCAGTCGTTTGACATGATGTCCTTTGGTTATGCTAAAATTAGTAATGGGTTCAAATGTTGAAAGCCTAATCCATTTATTATAAAGTTCTGTATCACCCTTTTATTTAATGGTTTTGACAGCCATTTATGATTATTGCCCAGATCCATTATTTCATTTGCGGTTGTAAGATGATTTCTCTCATTCTCTCATTCCTTTACCTTTAAAGTTTTATAAAGAACTTTCTTCCCTGATGAACTGCTTAGTTATCTTAAAATAAAACTCATATAGGAGTACCAGAATAAATGTTTAATTCTTGTCTTTTATTTTCTACTTTTCAAATCAAAGTGCCCTACTTACTTTGAAAAGTGATTAATGAGTATCTTTTAATAGTATGGTATTTTAAAAATACGTTTTTATTGATTTGGGAGAGAGAGAAATATCAATCAGCTGCCTCCGCACACCTCTTACGGGGATTGAGCCCCACCCAGGAATCGAAATGATTACCTTCAAACAACTGAGTAACACTGGCCCAGACAATAGTATGGTTTTATATATTTTATGATCAATTGCAGTCTTTTATATAAAATATATTTTATTGATTTTTTTTTTTACAGAGAGGAAGGGAGAGGGACAGAGAGTTAGAAACATCGATAAGAGAGAATCATCGATCAGCTGCCCCTTGCAAACCCCCTTCTGGGGATGTGCCTGCAACCAAGGTACATGCCCCTGACCCAGAATCAAACCCGGGACCCTTCAGTCCGCAGGCCAACGCTCTATCCACTGAGCCAAACCTGTTTCGGCTGTAGTCCTTCTTTTTCATGTTCAAATTGTGTCATCTTTAGCTATTGGGGATTACTAAGTTAGATCCTGGTGTTTTGTTTTTGTTTGTTTTTAATATATTTTATTGATTTTTACAGAGAGGAAGGGAGAGGGATAGAGAGATACACAGATGAGAGAGAATCATTGGTCAGCTGCCTCTTTTTTTTTTTTTAATATATTTTATTGATTTTGTACAGAGAGGAAGGGAGAGAGATAGAGAGTTAGAAACATCGATGAGAGAGTCATCGATCAGCTGCCTCTTGCACACCCCCTTCTGGGGATTTGCCCGCAACCAAGGTATATATGCCCTTGACCAGAATCGAACCTGGGTCCTTTCAGTCCGCAGGCCGACGCTCTATCCACTGAACCAAACCAGTTTCGGCTAATTTTATAATTTTTTAAATTCTATTTTCTCAAAGTCACTTGTGTATAGTGGATTCTGATAAAAAAAAAAAATTATTTTCAGAATATCTTCTGATTGTATTAGTTTTCTGTGAAGATGACTAGTTCTAGATTATAATGATAGTCAAGAATAAAACTGATTAATAGTCCTCAACCAAAGAATTTAATAAACCTGAACAAAGACATGTATAAATAATTTATAGAGAAAAGTATCCATCCTACCCCCTTTCCCAGCTATTCCCACAGGTAACAAATATGTTTCTGGTGTTTCCTTTCATAGAAGAAAATAATAGTTAAATGGTACTTGGCCCCTTTTTATTAACCATAATAGTTTTATTTTTTTTATTTTTATTTTTTTAAAATATATTTTATTGATTTTGTACAGAGAGGAAGGGAGAGAGACAGAGAGCTAGAAACATCGATGAGAGAGTCATCGATCAGCTGCCTCTTGCACACCCCCTACCGGGGATATGCCCACAACCAAGGTACATGCCCTCGACCGGAATCGAACCCGGGACCCTTCAGTCCCCAAGCCGACGCTCTATCCATTGAGCCAAACCGGTCTCGGCTATTAACCATAATAGTTTTAATAGATATTTTATAAGAATTTTTTATGAAAGGATTATTTTAGTTATTTCTTAAAATTAAAACATAACATGGGAAGTCCTGGAATTTGGTAGCTAACTAATTTTAAGGGAAAAGACATTGTCTCCCCAAGTCCCCTACTTTCATGGATATAAGTAAAGTGTTTGACCTTTATATTATATCAGTTGCATAAATGGTAAATATATCTTTCAAGCAATGTAGTTTTATATTCATTGAAGAATTTTTAAATACTGAGTTTGATAATACCAGATAGACGATTTTACCTAGACTATTTTAAACTAAAATATTTTTAAAATACTTCTAATTGTTTATATTGGCACTGATTTTTTTTTTTTTAATTTATAGTCTTAACCATTTCTTTTATTCTTGTGTGTGTGTGTGTGTGTGTGTGTGTGTGTGTGTGTGTGTGTGTGTTTAATATTCTTTATTGATTTTTTACAGAGAGGAAGGGAGAGGGATAGAGAGAAATATTGATGAGAGAGAAACATCAATCATTTGCTTCCTGCACACTTCCTACTGGGGATCTGCCCACAACCAAGGTATATGCCCTTGATCGGAATCGAACCTAGGACCTTTCAGTCTGCAGGCCAATGCTGTTTCCACTGAGCCAAACGGGTTAGAGCTGGCATTGATTATTAAAGAGGAAGCAATGAGGTGCATCATCAATCAGTATATTATCTTAAATAAGTTCTCAGCTCTGGCTACACATTAGAATCCCTTTTGGAATTATAAAAATTTAGTAGGTATAGTCCCTTCTAATTCTGACTTGATTGGTCTAAGGTAATGTTGGTTAGGGTATATTTTTTAATATCGATACTAGAGGCCCAGTGCATGAAATTTGTGCACGGGTAGGGTCCCGAAGTCCTGCCACAGGGTGATGGAGAGGTGGGGACTGGCACCCATCTTGGCTGGCTTTGGGTCTGTGGGCTGGGAGCAGCTCCTGCATTGAGTGTCTGCCCTCTGATGGTCATTCCACTGGTCATTTGCTGTTTAGTCAATTTGCATAGTAAGCTTTTATTATATAGGATGTTTTTTAAAAAGCTCTCAGATGATACTGTGCTCCAAAGATTGAAACTATTGTTTCCTTCTATTCAAATAATCAGGAACTTAACTATTAGTAAGCTTTTAATATATATATATATATTAAAAGCTATATATATATATATATATATATATATATATATATATATAAAATCTGTGAACAATTTAAGTATATATATATATATATATATATATATATATATATACTTAAATTGTTCACAGATTTTTCTTTTAACTAACATTAAGTTTGCATTCAGCCCTGACTGGTTTGGCTCAGTGGATAGAACGTCGGCCTGCGGACTGAAAGGTCCCAGGTTTGATTCCTCTCAAGAGCATGTGTTCCTTGGTTGCGGACACATCCCCAATAGGGAGTGTGTAGGAGGCAGCTGATCGATGTTTCTCTCTCATCGATATTTATCGCTCTCTATCCCTTTCCCTTTCTCTCTGTAAAAAAATCAATAAAATATATTTAAAAAATAAAATGGACTTTAAAAAAGAAAGAAATATGGAGAGGTGGCAGAACTGCTCTGTTAAAAAGTTTGCATTCAGCAAAAATTTCCTAATTGAGAGCAGGAAAAAGGACTCAGAGGTTCAGATTGTGAGTTAAAGGGAAACTACAAAATCAGTCCAATGAGATTGTCAGTATCTTGCGGGGTTTGGTACTAATACTTCCAACCAAATTAGCATATTTATCCTTGTCCCAGAATAAGAGTAAAATGTATTCACCTTTAAAATTAACCTACATTTTAAAAAAATTAACCTACATTAACTCAAATATAAAAAAAAATAACGCCCTTTATCTAGATAAAATGTTAGCTTGATACCAAAAGTGACCATATATGTACACTCTAATATGCTAATCAAGGATGGCTATTTCATAGTTAAAAGAATTTTAAAGGGTCATCTGGTTACAGTGGCTTCAACTGTATAGCTTGATGCTTGGGTGCAGAATCTCAAGTACCTTACCTGGGCTGCTGCATCAGAATCTGCATTTTAACAAAAGCTTCAGATGATTGAAACACACAGTATAAGTTTGAGAAGCACCAGTCTAATGACTTTCAAGCTATTTTATAAGGACTAGTAATATTTTTTAAATGAGGAAAAATTATTCAGCTTCTCAAGGAAGAAATGAATCATAGATTGGAAGGTAAAACAATAGTGTGTCGATGTTATCTTTCTGTTGTGAGGAGTGGATAGCATTGAAGGAGTTTTTGGCTGTGACAGGTTAGGTGTGCATGTTCATGAAAGATGACACCAAGTTTTCGTTGCTATTTAATTTGAATGTCTTTAAGAAGAGTTTGACACCTGGGAATTTTTAAGTTCTGACAGCTGTGTAAATTATAACATTATAATTTAAGCTGATTCTATTTAATAGTTTAATAGTCCTAACCATAGGAAACGAATAATGTTTAAAATTATAAAATTTGTGTTTTGTTTTAAAAGGATTCTGACTTGTAACAAATGACTTTTTTATAAGTCAAAGAAAGTCTTCATGCTCAGACTCAGCCTGTTTGTTGATTTGACGGTCAGAGATGCAGCTGCAATGCTAGAGACAAATAGCACACAGCAGTCACAAAAGGAGACAGTGATGAATTGATGCACTTTTTCTCCCCTTGTTTCTATTACAATTTGTGAGCTTCTGTAGTTGGACTCTTGAATGTATTTTTACCATACGTTAAGTGTTTTCTGATACCTACATATCAGTTCAGTCAATACAAATAGAAATATATTGAGGGCATAGCATTGTTTGCAAATGCTGGCATTTGGAGAATTTTCATGGCTTGTCTGTGCTAATATGGCCATTATTAAGGTGTTTGATACTAGAATTGACTTTTTAATGTGTCGATGTTAATTAGAGCTATTCTCAAGCTGGAATAACTGAGACTGAATGGACAAGTGGATCTTCAAAAGGCGGACCTCTGCAGGCATTAACTAGGGAATCCACAAGAGGGTCGAGAAGAACTCCGAGAAAAAGGGTGATGCAAGGCTTATTGCTTAGAATTGGGTTTTCAGATTGGTAGGGTTTTAGTGATTATTTTATATTTATTGTTTTTGTTTTGTTTTCAAACTAACAGGTGGATACTTCAGAACATTTTCGTATAGATGGTGCAATAATTTCAGAGAGTACTCCCATAGCTGAAACTATAATGGCTTCAAGCAACGAAACCTTAGTAAATATGTTTCATAAACTATACAAGTTGTATTCTTTGTAAATTACCCTTTAATTAGAATTGGGGAGGTGGTGAATTTTGGCAGCTATCAAACGTACATTTTTTTTTAACATAAATTAAACTTATTCCCCACATATATTCTAAATTTAAAAATGTTTTCCATATAGCCAGTTTATATATGTATAAATTTAATTCATTGCGCAAGAATCGAAAGTATTAAAAGGATGCTTTTGCTAAAATATTTAAAGCATGATAAGGCTTCATATGTGAGAACCACTGAATGTGTTCATTTCTGGGTCCTTTCACCTAAATTTTTATTAAGGGAAAGTTCAAATAATATAGAAATAAAATATCTTTTTCTTTTTTTCATATGTCTTTGTTATATTTGGATAATTCTGAGTCTGAATAATTTGAATCTTGGCAGGTTGTCAATAGGGTGACTGGAAATTTCAAGCATGCAGCTCCTATTCTACCAATCACTGAATTCTCAGACATACCCAGAAGAACACCAAAGAAACCATTGACAAGAGCTGAAGTAAATGAATAAAATTTAGATAGATGTTATCATTGATCTTTTAAAGAGGAAATACTTATATTTGTTTTTTGAAGTGGGAGGGAGCAGAGCTTTATTGGTTGGGGTTGTGTGTGTGTGTGTGTGCACGCGCTTGCTTATATTTTAAAGACATACTTCGGCTAGTAACAATAAAAAGTAACCAATGTAATATGATGTGCTGATACTATCCTCTTGCTACTACTCTGTGCCTCCTAAGTTCCAGTTTTCAAGGGAATGGTCATTTGTGTGCTGCTTATAACATGTTCTCTTTGTTATGGATGAGAGTTGAAAGTATAACTGGGCAGTAGGGGAGGCTATACTATCTTTTCACTTAAAGGTCAAATAATGGGACTTTAAAATGACTTTGTATGATGCTTCATTTGATTAACTTCTGTATAATTAAGCTTTAAAGTGCTAACTGCATGATGCATTATAGTTTTAATAAATTTTTACCAAAGGTTATTTTGATTGGGGCATAAAGGCAAGCAAAACAGTCAGGCTGCTAAAAATATATATATATATCACTTTTTTTGAGTTAGGAAGATTAGGTTGACTGTTTTAAAACACATACTAAAATTTGTTAAAGGTCCAAATTAATTTGATACCTTCTATGTTTGATCATTTGTTTTATTACAAAGTATTTTTTTTAATATGTTTTTGTTTTTTGTTTTTTTTTTTTAAGAACGAGGAAGGGAGAGACAAACATTGATGAGAAAGCAACATTGATTAGCTGCCTCCTACAGGGGTCCTACTGGGGATTGAGCCTCAAAACCTTGCTATGTGCTCTGACCAGGAATCAAACTGGCAACCTCTAGGTTCATGGGACTATGCTCAACCAACTGAGTCACTCCAGTTGGGTTTATTACAGAGTTTTTAATGGAGGGAAAAAACAGTGTAAATGAAAAGCATGGGAAATCCAGTGGAGGAACTATATTGCCATATTAGCTACACTGAATTTTTGTTTATTTTACTTTGACTTGTTAATTTTTAATGTGTGGCTATTTCCCCCCACCCCTAAAAAAAATTATCACATTAACATCTTAAATTCGAAGAAATTTAGAAATGTGTGGATACTTAGGTGATAATGAATTTAGAAATGGCAGTTAAAAGCTAGAATAGATTTAAATGCATTATCTTCTCTGAAACTTCGATTTAAAATGTATTTTCATTGTTGCACGTTTACACTAATTTTTAACTTTGGTTGTTTTTTTCTTATTAGGTGGGAGAAAAAACAGAGGAAAGAAGAATAGACAGGGATATTCTTAAGGAAATGTTTCCCTTTGAAGCATCTACACCAACAGGAATTAGGTATTCAGATATATTGAAATAAGTATTAACCTGTTAACTGAGTGGGTCCTATAAATACGTCAAACATAAACACTATCCGGAATGGGTAGGACATATGAATATGTCCTTGAAATATATGTTGCACCCTGAGAGGGACGGTATATATTTTTTGTAATCTTTTTTTTTTTTTAATATATTTTATTGATTTTCTTACAGAGAGGAAGGGAGAGATAGAGAGCTAGAAACATCGATGAGAGAGAAACATCGACCAGCTGCCTCTTGCACACCCTCTACCGGGGATGTGCCCGCAACCAATGTACATGCCCTTGGCCGGAATCGAACCTGGGACCTTTCAGTCTGCAGACCGATGCTCTACCGCTGAGTCAAACCGGCTTCGGCTGTAATCTTTATAATTGTTCGTAAAATTTATAATTTTTTAATTCGATGTTTCCATTTTTTTGTTGGTATTCTTTTCTATTTGTAATTTTGTATTTTCCTTTGTGTTTTATATATAAATAAACGAAAAAATATATATTTCATTTATTTTAATTAAGTATAAATTAAAAAAATAATAATATAAAATTACGTCCGCTGGGTGTGACGTACTGACACGTCCTAGTGTATGTTGCATAATTAAAAAGGGAACTAACTCCTTGGTTAACAGGTTAATGGATTCTACGGGAGTGTTTTTATTTATTCACTTACTTATTCCCACATTTATTTAGATAAAATGGACACATAAAATTATATATTTAGGGTATACAACATAATTATTTAATACACATAAATGAGAATTTTAATTTTTCATTCTTAACAAAAAGTTAACTATATTTGTGTTCTCCGAATTAAACTTCTTTTGTGAGCAGTTTTAATTTTTCTAAGCTATCAGTTCATATTCTGGAAAATTGAGTCTGTTTCAAAATTAACTTTGTTAAACTGAAGGATTGTAAAGAAATAATTTACCTACTATTTAATTTCTATTTTTAAATTTAAATGGAAACCTAGTAAGAAGGAAATCATTGTTTTCACTGAGAGATTTTTTTCTGATCTGTTGAATTGTTTCCTGACTGAGGGAATCACAATCAACCTACCTTATTTCTTTCCTATTATCTCCTAAATATATTTACTCTGAAAAGACTTTAAGAAGGCAAGTTTAGTGAATCTTTATCAATGTTCTGAATATTATTTTTTAATAAAAGATAATGCAATTTTTAAAATGGAAAATGTATAGAAGTTTTAAGTAGCTTGACCTCACTGTTTTTATGTGACATTTACCTACTGTTAACTTAAGGAATGTGTTAGGGATAAGGAGTGGTCATGATATTATATATTATTTATGTAACATAACTTTATCTAAAATCTATTTTTTGTTCTTTTATTCCCAACAGTGCTAGTTGTCGCAGACCAATCAAAGGGGCTGCAGGGCGGCCGTTAGAATTCAGTGATTTCAGGATGGAGGAATCTTTTTCATCAAAATATATTCCTAAGTATATTCCTTTGACAGATGTCAAGCCAGAAAAGACAAAAAAAGGACACTCCATTCCCATGTGGATAAAAATTTTGCTATTTGTTGTTGTGGTCGTTTTTTTGTTTTTGGTCTATCAAGCTATGGAAACCAACCAAGTAAATCCATTCTCTGGTTTTTATCTTAGCAACTCTAAAAATTCCAACTGAATGATATCTCTTTGGCACACCCATCTTGGTCTCCTATTTTTATTAACTGTATAAAAAAATTGTGTACACTTCCTGATGCAAGAGCTAAATATAATGTGATTTCACCTCAATAAATATAGTATTCCATTGAAAAGTAAGCGATATATAAATGGACTTCATTTAAATGTTTTGGACTTTGGACTAGTAGGAGATCACTTCGTGCCATACAAATAATCTTTTTTAGCTCTGGAACTTTTTTGTAGACTTTATTTTTTTAATGTGGGCATCTTATTTCATTTTTGAGAAAAATGTACATTGTTTCTGTGTTTCAAGAAGGGCGAAATGTATAATGTGAAGCTACACATTTAAATACTTTGAATTCTTACAGAAAAGAGTTAAGAATTATTCTCTGCTGAATAAAAACTTTAGAGATATGTGAAACATGAAATTTGTTAAGAGGAAAAGCAACTTGGAGTTGTACTTTTTGTAACACCAACAAAGTTTAATGGTGTATATGGGGAAAAGTACAGCAATAATCTCTTCTGTAACTTTTATTACTAGTAATGCCATTAATGTAGCCCTGTTGTACTCACTTTTTAAAAAATTTCTAGTATCATGAATGTCCTACTTCAGTAAGACCCATTTAAATACAGTTGAATTTTAGCAGTAATCTTTTAGTGCTAAAGATTCTTATATGTATATGTTTTAGAAAACTTTACTAGCTATCCATGTTTTTAAAAGCTGTTTAGCTAGCTAGAAGGCTATAATTGGGAACCTGTATTTTTTATTTACAGCTAAAAATATTGTCAATCCAGTTTGCTACCAAATATTTTTTAGATAAATGTGTGTCTGTTCATAAGTTGGAAACTTTATACACTGATCTTTGTTTCCATTTGAATTCCCTATTGCATTGTCTTCTGTTACTAAAAACAAATTTTGCCATGGTGTTTTGTTTTTTTTTGCCCTGTTTCCCAACATAATTTGATTTTAAACTGCACAAAGTATTAGCTTTTAAATGACATAAACTTTTCTTGGATACACAGTAGATATAAGAATTTGTGAACTCTGAATATGAGGTGGGCATTATGTTTTTTGTGTACTCTTGAAGTGGTTAACTTTTATCTTTGTGGTTGATGTATTTTTTTTTTTTTTTTAGCTAAAACTTACCTCATGTATAACTTGGTTAATTGAAATTTCAACAGAATCAAGTAAAACAAAAATTTTAAACTTATTTGAGTTACTAATTTTACAGTCTTTGACCATAAGCACACTAAAAAATGTAAGTTATTTTTAAATGCCATCTGAAATAAATATGATACTTTTTCAAAAGGGAAAATGCTGAAGGTGTATATTTAGACCAGCAAACAATTTTTATTTGAATTAGTCCTTTTCCTGATATTTAGCTTTTAGATATTTTGTACATTTTTCACTTGGCAGTTTATCAGAAATGTTTATAGGCCTGAGGGAGTGAGAAACACACAGGTCAGAAATGCTTGCCTCTGAGTAAAAGTGTTCCTTAGAGATGAGCCACACAGGGGGCACGTTTTATTCAACTTTTTGTGTAAGGTAACAGCAGTCCACTTTCACTTTGTTTTTAAACTTTGTTTCCCATCTGGTTTTTAATCTTTTGTTAATAATTAGAAATTGTGAGGAGCTGCAGTTACTGTTTAAAAATGTGGGGTGATAAATTAGACTTAATATGTATGTGAGGTCAATTTTCTAATAGGAAAGGTGTGGTCCAAAATAGCAAAAGTAGGACCAGGTAAAAGTCTTCTCTCCTCTCCCCTCCCCCCTTCCCCCAATGTGTATTTGGTCTTTTGTGTGTGTCTGTTTTACTCCACTAGAATTAATGTGTTCTTGATGTAAATGCAAAGCATTTCTTTCCGATTAAATTGTAGATGTAGACTTTACAATATAATTCAATAATAAAAAAAATAGTTAACCTCTAGTTTGGTCATCGCAATAAATGCTTTTTAGATTGCACAAATTGCAAAATGTCCTGATAACATTTCTTACGTGATATTTATGGATTGTTGCATTTTAGTTCTCATTTTCAGTAAGCTCCTTTATGTTTTGTTCTAATCATTGTAGTAATCGGGGTCCTTATTTATCCATTGGTAAGTAGTGTGTAGCCATTATGTGTACTTGGAGGATGACAGGGAAGCTTACAGAGGCACCTCTCTCTCTACAGTATAGAAACTACTACTTTTTAGTCATCTTCCCCCACCCTTTCCCAGCTTTACTGTCTTAGTACTTTTCTGAGGCACTCATGACAGTTAGTCTTGCTTTGAGACTAAGCAAAGATGTTATATTTATCATGGAGCTGTGTTCACAAGGATCGAAGTGCCTGTATCATCTTCATTCATGTGTTCCCCAAAGGTGATCTAATTTAAGTTGTCAATTCTCATAATAACATATATAATTAGAAAGAGAACAGCATCAAAGGCTTAAAATTTAAAAATCCCTAGAGGTTTAGAACTTAGAAGGACCACTGAAGTCATACAAAGAACAAGGCTAAATAGAACTGGTGTAGAAAATGAACACGGGACAGCATGGTCTTTTAGATCCCCTTATTTCCCAGCCGTGAGAACCTGGTTAAGTTTCTTATCCCCTTGGAGTATCATTCTCTCCTCATATGTAAGAAAATACCTACTTCAGTCCAAGCTGGTTTAGCTTAGAGCATCGGCCTGTGGACTGAGGGTCCTGGGTTCAATTCCAGTCGGGCACATGCCCAAGTTGCAGATTTGATCCTCAGTAGGGGGTGTGCATGAGGCAGCCAATCATTGATTCTCATCATTGATGTTTCTATCTCCCTCTCTGAAAACAATACAAATATATTTAGAAATAAATAAAATACCTACTCTACTTCATAGGATTATCTTGAGGATTAAGCAAGTCAATACATAGCAAGTGCATAGAACAAGATCATTCTGTGGCCGATGCTACCCAGTGAGCCAAACTGGCTGAGGCAAGGCATCTACTTTCTTAACCCTAGGGAGACTTCTAGGAACCACAAAGGGAACCAGGAGTAAAACTGCACGGGGCCAGCCAGAGCTATTGTGGGGGCACCAGGAGGAGCCTTCCACACCGCCTGCTTCCTTTCCAGGCCTGTAGCCAGGAGGAAACAGCATCCAAATTGCCTCCCAATTCCAATGGTTGCAATTCCTGGTCCCCAAGTAAGAAGTAAACAAAAACTCAAGGAGCTGGAGCTAAGATTACCAGGGCCATTACAGCCTTGGGGTGGGAGTAGCCCTGCCTCACCAGAAGTATCAGGCAGGTGGATGAGACGAGGTGTAAAGCACTGCAAGTCAACTGGCCACCAGAGGCCAAAGGTTTGGCTAGTGGGGGACCAAGGTCAGGAGGCAATCCTAGTGTGAGACTGGTCTGCAGTGAGGACCCTTTAGCTCCACAAAGTGGCAATTGCATTTCTGAACCAAAGATTAAGATACAGGTTTTGACAAAAATAATTTATTTGTGAATGTATTTGGGATGTCCTAAAGAGGTTTGAGAAGTCAATGTATTTTTATGTGAATCAGTTCTATTACAAAAATAAAATTTTAAGAAATCAGAAAAAAGCTCTTCACTTGGGAATTCGCAACACGTGTGCTGTCTTCCTCTCTGGCACTTGCTGGACCTGGGTCTTGGGGGCGGGGCTTTCCTATGTTACTTTTCAAGGGCTAGGAGACAGGTGAACAAGAATAACACTTATTTCAGAAGACACTGATTTCAGAAGACACTGGGAGCCATGAAGAAAATAGGCTTAGATTATGTGATTAGGGAGTGATATTTGTTTTCTATTGTTATTACTTCAAGCCAAGGAGCCTACACCACAAAGTGTGACCACAGGTGAAGGGGGTCAGGAACCTGAGGTGGGCCCAAACTGGTTGCTCAGTGGTTAGAGTATTGGCCCATGCACAGAAGGAGTGTGTGCATGAGGCAACATATCTATGTGTCTGTTTCTCCCCACCTCCTTCCCACTCTAAAAATGGGAAAAATATCCTTGGGTGAAGATTAAAGAAAATAAGAGAATGTATTGAAAATAGTGAACAGCAATTTTTTATCTGTCAAGAAGGTAATCATAAATCTGGAAAAAGGCACCCAGCTGGCATGGCTCAGTGATTGAGTGTTGACCAATGAACCAGGAGGTCATGGTTCGATTCCTGGCCAGAGCACATGCCGGGGTTGTGGTGTTGATCCTCAATGTGGGATGTGCTGATCATTTATGTTTCTCCCCCACCCTTCCTCTCTGAAAACAATAAAATATACTTTAAAAAAAATATGAAGAATAAATTAAATAAGGAGAGAGGAAAGCACTTCCTTACAGTACAATGGTAATGTAGAAGTAGAGTTAGAAAACCACACTTTACCACAAAAGATTAGGGCAATAGCCGAAACCGGTTTGGCTCAATGGATAGAGCGTCGGCTTGGGGACTCAAGGGACCCGGGTTCGATTCCGGTCAAGGGCATGTACCTTGGTTGCAGGCATATCCCCAGTAGGGGGTGTGCAAGAGGCAGCTGATCGATGACTCTCCCACATCGATGTTTCTAACTATCTATCTCCCTTCCTCTCTGTATAAAATCAATAAAATATATTAAAAAAAAAAAAAGATTAGGGCAATAATCATTGATAGCTATGAAAATTAGTGGGTGAAAGTTTGTTGTAGTCTTCCTTACAAATGACTTCTTAATTAGAGATGAGAAACAGTAAGTTGCAATGAGGAAACTTGAAAAACCCTACCTTGATTAAGTGATCCAAGTCCAGCTCACCAGTTATAGGCAAGTTAACATCACATGCCTTTTTTTTTTTTTTTTAATATGTTTTATTGTTTTTTTACAGAGAAGAAGGGAGAAGAATAGAGAATTAGAAACATTGATGAAAACAAAATATCAATCAGCTACCTCCTGCACACCCCCTACTGGGGATGTACGGGCAATCAAGATACATGCCCTTGACCGGAATTTAACCTGAGACCCTTGGGTCTGCAGGCCAGTTAGGGCTATGTGCTTTCTGATATGATACT